CTGCAGGGCGAGTTCGTGCATGACGACGTGTGGGCGATCCTGAACAACCCCGACGTGCGGTCTGACACCCCGCTCGGCTGGGGCATTTTCGCCAACGACTTCTGGGGCAAGGGCATGGCTGAGAACACCAGCCACAAGTCCTATCGGCCGCTCTGTGTCCTCACCTTCAAGTGAGTCCCTCGCCTCGCCCTTGCCGCCGCCCCCGGCCAGAAGTTGCGGTCCTGCCCTGGGGGCGTTTCTATTTCTTGTTGCCCCTTTTGCCCACGTCTCCCTCTTCTCCGGGCTGCCCACGCCTCTTCCCTCCCTGGTTCTCTGCCCAGTTTCCCTGCGCTCCTGGGGCAGTTCGGGAGGCGCGGGCTGGGGAGTTGGAATCGAGTTTCTCAAGTGTCTGAGCTCTTGGCCGGCTTTTCTCTCGGGGCAAAGCTGGGAGGGGTCTGGAGGTGCCGCCTCCGCACACCCCTGCGGGAGGGCGGCCGAGTGGAACTTGCGCAGGCCCAGCGTTCTTCCGAGGGGTGATGATGGAGGTTGCTTCCAAGTTGGGAATTTTTCTGAGGCTTTTGGACAGCTTTGCAAATGGGTAGTCTGTCAGCCCCTTGGGTTAGTGTTCCGAAGAGACGAGGCAGGAGCGGTTGTCAGGGGCGCATGGGTTTAGGGGAGGAGCGGGGGAGACATCAGAGGATTCCTCTCTGCGCAGCCCCTCGGCGGGTGCCCCTGGCTGCTCGCGGACCCTCGCCAGTCTGCCAGAACCCCTCGGCATCTAGACTGAAAAAGGTGCAAACCAAAGGAACGCAGAAGCGTGGAATCTTCTGGGGATCCTGGCGTCCCAGTCAACATAGTTTTTCTTTTATAACCTCGGAGTCATGATTCAGCATTTCGGGTGTGAATAAAAGTGTAAGGGAACCGGGGCTACGCCAGGTTTTTGTATGCTATTATATTTTCTTAAATTTAAAAGACTAACGGCGAAAAGGGAGAAGAGCTGTTTTGAGGGAAGTGCTATCTCACTCATTATGAGCTTGACTCGGCCTTTTATAATTTGGCTCAGAAGTTAAGCCTATTTTAATGTGCCGGACGAAACTGCTGAACTAATATTGGTTCTGTATCATCAGCGTTTTTAAACCTTTTTCCAAAAGGTGTAATAGGACCCTCTCTTTATGGTAATGATCATTCCAGATTGGGTAGGTGGTTTCAAAAGCCTGCCCTGGTTGGGAGGCCAGGATCTCTTGACAGGTGGCTCTGATGACTTAGAAAAGGGAACCGTAGCAATTGGCAACAATTCATGGGTTTTAAACTTAATTTTTCCACTGAAAGTTTAAGTAGCTTTAAGGAGGGTGAGGAAATTACACGTTTGAGTCTGAGAAGACTATTTTGTAAACATTTTCTCTCTTTCAAATTTGTCCTTGGTTTGAGCTGAAAGATAATCTTGGCTGGTGAATGAATTGCCCAGTATTTTGAATTTTCCAAATAATTCTTAAAATCTCCTTTGATGTACAAATATAAATGTTTAACTTCTAGATTGACCATTTCAATTTATTACAATGAGGGTTGTTAGTTAATGTGTGCAAGTGCACAGTGAGGCGTGTTGGATGTGACAGCCATGAAGACTATTCTGGTCTTTTGCTCTGAGGGTACTTATTTTTAAAAGATCTGGGTCAAAAATACCTCTGTTCATTTGGTAGAGGGTGGTGAAAGGTGTTTTCAGTTCTTGACTTTCTAAAATGTCCCTGTATTTCTGCAGGAAGCAAAGACAGGGTCAGAGGAGAAAAGGGTGGAGTAAGACAGGAAGGAGAAAATTAGCTAGGGTTTGGCTGAACAAGGAGGCCTGGTGGCACAGTGGTTAAGTGCTCGGCTACTAACTGAAAGAGTGGGCAGTTGAAACCCAACAGCCGGTTCACCACAGAAAGATGTGGCAGTCTGTTTTGGTAAAGATTTATGGCCTTGCAAACTTTATGGAACAGTTCTAATCAACTCCATAGCAGTGATTTGAGGGGAAAGTCTTCTCTTGTAGTAATCATTGATTCTAAAAAGCAGCTTGGTGCCTAAGATACATTACTCTTCTCATATTGTATCTTACTGTGTAGGTAAGATACACTGTTTTTATTTTTTCTTTTGAGGAGATTGAGTTGCAGATCTAGAAAGCAACACAACTACCTGCAAACAGGTGCCTCTTCAAAAAGAGAAAGTTATCTTTCTGTTTCAAATGAGTTGATTTAAATAAGACCAGTCTGACTCCCCGAATATAACAACAACAACAGGAAGCTTTCTATACAGACACCTGAGTTATAACTACATCTTCAAGTACCATAGCATAAAGCTGGGCCTGTTTAACAGAGAACACTGATGAAATTAGACCCATAGAAGTCTAAAGATTGTTAGAAGGAAAAATAGAAAATTACATTTATTAATTTACGAACCAAGCTTTAGCCTGTGTCTTTATGATTTTTTATTTAAGTATTTGGTGAAAATACAGTTAAAGGGGCTCTTTAAATATTTAAGGAGTCACGGCGGCACAGTGGTTAAAGTGCTTGGTTGTGAACTGAACGGTTGGCAGTTCAAACCCACCAACCATTCAGTAGGAGGAAAATATGGCAATCTGCTTCTATTAAGATTTATAGCCTTGGAAGCCCTCTGGGGGCAGTTCTACTCTGTCTTACAGGGTCATTATGAGTCAGAATCCACTTGACAACAGTAGATTTGGTTTTTGGTTTAGGATGTTTCCACTTTTTACAACAAAACACAGACTAGTTGGATCTAGTCAGATCTAACTCATAGCGACCCCTCCTTGGGTTTCCGAGGCGTATCTCTACGGAATTAGATTGCCCAGTCTTCTGAGGAGTGGCTGGTGGGTTTGAACTGCCAGCCTTATAGTTAGCAGTCAAGTGCCTTAGGCACTGCACCACCAGAGCTCCTTTCTATTTTTTAGCTATTACAAATAAAGCTGCTGTAAACACTCAAGTGCAGCTTTTTGTGTGAACATAAGTTTTTATTTCTGTGGGATAATTGTTCAGGTCGTATTGCTAGGTCATATGGTAGTTGTGGGAGCTCTGGTAGCGTAGTGCCTAAGGCACTTGACTGCTAAACAGAAGGCTGGTGGTTCAAACCCACCAGCTACTCCTCAGAAGAAAGGTTGGGCAATCTACTTCTGTAGTGATACTGCCTCAGAAACCCAAGGAGGGGTCACTATGAGTTGGGTCTGACTCAACAATACATAACAACAACAACAACAATGGTAATTGCATATTTAGATTTTTGGAGAAATGATCCAGTTTCTCTGTACTGTTGCCAGCATTTGGTATTGTCATCATTATTTTTTATTATAATCATTCTGAAGGGTACATTGTGATATCTCATTGTAGTTTTAGTTTGTATTTCTTGAACAGCTAATGATGTTGAACATCTTTTCATGTGCTTGTTTCATTTGCCCTCTATATATCATCTTTGGTGAAATGTTTCTTTGTGTCTTTGTCCATTTTCTAAATGATTTTCTTTACTGTTGAGTTTTGCAAGTATATTCTAGATAGAAGTCCTTTGTCACATATATGATTGGCAAATAGTTTCTCCTACTCTGTAGGTTGTCTTTACATCATTTTCACAGGGTTTTTGCAGTGCAAAAGTCAAACCATTTTTTAAAAATTGAAAGTAAATTTATTATCTTTGAGTCATTGAATAAGTGTCACATATACTGTAAATGAAGAATTCTCTTAAAAATAAATATAACTGACTAATATGTAATGCTGGTCAGTTGTGTAGAAAGAGACTACACACACACACACATACACACTCACTGCCATTGAGTCAATTTGACTCATAGTGACCCCTCCTTGGGTTTCCAAGGTGGTATCTCTATGGAAGTAGATTTTTCTCAAATAAGAAATGGGTTACAATTGAAATGAGGAAATGGATTATCAGTGCATCTAATTTTACTAGTTTTGAAACAGGGCAATGGATAATGAAGGCAGCTTGTCAGTTTAGTTGGACTTGATGGCAACAGTATATTTCTTAGAATTCCTTTCCCTGTATGTTTCTGGTGTAAGAATGGCAACAAGTGAGATTTCTGCAAGATTTGGAAGGTAGAACTGAAGCCGCACATTCTCACTCAGAAGGCTGGTATGGATTTTGTTGTGTTACAACTCATGCAGATTGTCACAGAAATGCTGGCTAACCTGCTGTTGGTATGCAGCAGTAGCAAGGCCCCCAGCTCCTCCAGCGCTCTCCAGGCTGCCTCCTTCAGCTTCTTGGAATCATATGCAGGTGTGTGTAGGTCTGTGGGGAAGTGCGCCAGCCTTTTGGCAAGACACTCGCATCATTAAAAAGCAGGAGCCTTAGAGGTAGTGAGAAACAGACATGTTCTTTTTGGTGGGTTCCAGCTTTCTTCAAGTTCATCTATCCTCCCTTCTGAATGCCTGCCTTGCTGGCTTTTGACTTCTTTCGAGATACTGAAGCAGCAGCATTGCCTAGACTGTTTAACCAGCTCTCACAGTTGGGAAAGGTCAAATCCCATAGGAGATCTCTTATTCTGCATTACTCCTGGTGGTTCTGCTTCTCTGGTCAAATTCTAACTGATACAAATGGTCATCATTTTGTGTGCCTTGAAAAGTGACTTTAGCATGCTAATGAATTATATTTCTAGTCAAACTTATATCCAGTCTTTTTATAAGACCATTTCCAAGGGCATGCAGGAATATTTTTGGACTACAGAAGAGCAGAATCTATGAAAATTTAGTCTGTGGCAGTAACCTTTTTTATTTTGCTTCTTTATCCTTCACTGGCCATTGCCTCTTTGTAGCTGTACAGTCAGGAGGGAAAGAGTTTTTTTGGTTTATACACACTGAATTGACACAGAAACAAAACACATGATGCCCTTTACTCTCCTTGAAAAATGACCCTGTGATTGATTTAAAGGGTAGTTACTATTATTATTTTTTTCTTCTCCCTTTCTCTCCTAGGAAGAAGCCCTTGCAGGGTTGTTAGCAGTGCCATTCCATATCAGTAAGTGGGTCTGTGGGAGAAAGGGCTGACAATCTGCTTCCATAAAGGTTAATCCAAGAAAACCCTATGGGGCAGTTCTTCTCTGTCACTTGGGGTTGCTATGAGTCAGAAACAACTCATGGCCCCTAACAACAGCAACAACAAAGCAAGGGAAAGCTACTTCAAAAAAGAAAAAAGCAATGAC